GTATATATAATACAGTAAATGCATGAAAAATGCCTTAAGTAAATGCATGAATAAGAATGATCATGTAAGAACCAGCAGAACAAAATGACTGCTTGTATCGCTAGCGTGTGATTGAAGTGTGAGTCAACAGAAAGCCCACACTCTTTAAAGCTGTTAAGTAAAAGACAGTCAGTGACAAGGACACCTCCTCACATTCCAATTTCTCTCCCAAATATGAACTCATTAATCATAGCAGCTGTCCAAAATGGATTTTAATTTCGCACCAAACACACACCAGCCCCGGCTCCACTTCGCTCAATGCAGGCAGATTACATTTCACTGTCCTCTTTCTGTCTCTCAGCCTCTCTCTTACGCTCCCTTTATCTCACTCCTTCCTCTGTGTCACCCTTCTCCTTCTCTTTCCTTTTCTTCTCATTTCTCTGTATTATTGTCTTTTGTTATAAATGGTGCTTGGTATATTATTACTTTTCTAAGCAAACGGATGTATTTTTTTTTTGTCTGCTGAATATTAAAACATGCAAAAATATTGTCCATAGTCTTATATACTGTATACACGTTTTTGAAAGAGGTCTCTTATGCTCACCAAGGCTGCATTTAGTTGAATAAAAATAAATAAATAAATAAATACAATAAATACAGTAAAACCAGTAAAATGGTCAAATATTATCACAATTAAAACAAGTTTTTTTAATTTAAATAAATTATAAAATGTCATTTATTCCTAATATGCAAGGCTGCATATTTAGCAACCGTTACTCCAGGCTTCAGTGTCACATGATCCTTCAGAAATCTTTCTAATATGCTGATTTGGTGCTCTTCTTATTATCATTATGTTAAAAATGGTTGTGTTGCTTAATATTTTTATAATTTCTTCCTCTCCGGGATTCTTTTATGAATAGAAAGTTAAAAAGAACAGTATTATTTATTTAAAATAGATTTTTAAAAACAATGTAAGTCTTTATTGTCACTTTTTTAAATCAATTTAATGCATCATTGCTGAATAAAAGTATTAATTTATCAAAAAAAAAGTAGTGACTCCAAACTTTTAAACTTTTGACCTGCAAGAAACCACATGGAACCCTCTTGCAACGCACTAAAAGTGTGCACATGAAGCACAACAATGCCCTGATAACCAATAATAACACCATAACCACCCAATTCTATTGTTCTCAGTCTGTTCCCCCTCGAGGCAATGGCAGAAAACTTTATATCTTTAACATATCTATATATGTATCCATCTAAATGCAAATGTTCCACCCACACTGCATTAAGTGATATGGGCACAAACTAGTCTTTGCAGTTTTAAAAGACAAAAGAGAGCACAAGCAGATGGATGTGTAGGGGGTGAAAGTACAAGCATGACCAGGAGGCCCACGGTTCTTTATTAAAGTACAACAATTCTGGTGCTCATCTGTCTGATTGTCTGTCTGTCTCTTTCAACAGAATCTGGCTTCAGAGATGCAGTCTCAATTTGCTTGCTCTCTCTGCAGAGGAAAAAGAAGAAATACAATTCTGTTCATGTTTGCTAATGAAACCGAACTTATTCTCATGGTAATACATAATGATTCTCCTATTTCAACTCTTCAGTTTGTATTTTGAATGTGACAATAATAATTCAGATGTAAATTCCACAGCTGAAGCACTTAGAGCGACGCTGTCATGATTTACCTGTTATGTTTCTCGGCACTGGTAAAGACGTACCAATCATGTTTGTGATAACAGGCTAAGCATTCATCTAGATGACTGAGATGATTATTGAGATGACAGGATGGATTTCCATTTGAATGTCAGGTGCCAATCCTTTACTCATATATTTAAACCTTTATATTTTATAGTGCATAAAACGTCCTGAGATACGAATGCAGCTCTTAGGAGGATGTTTTTAAAAAAAAAAAAAAAAAAAAAAAAAAAAAAAAAAAAAAAGGAAAG